ACCAGACCTCACTCTCCAAGCCGACAGACTCAACAGCAGGGAGACCTGTACCTCCAAAAGCACCGGAAGGAAAGAGAGTGAAGGCCTTTCCTCCCTTCTTCTTATACCCCGGCTTACGTAAAAATTGTAGGGAATATCGGGTAAATCTGGGCACTTCCTTGGTTACAAACTGGTCACCAAGGAAGGCCTAGACCAAACTACCACACGCCCATTGCGACATAGAATCTTCTTCCAAAGCAGGGACAGGATTACAAGAGGGTTGTACACTTTATTGTTACAGGTTGTAAACATTTATACTTTTCACATATCACACATGTCAACTTTCTATTGGTGTCTTCATATAAACATATATCAGGCTATTCACATGTCATCCTGCTATTGGTACATATAGATCAGGCCATCAGACCATCCACATGTCAACCTGCTATTGGTACTTTCATGTATACACACACCAGGATTGGTTGCAAACTAGTAAACACAGTTTTTATCGAGTCATCCTGACTTGTAAAAAGTACAGGAAGTTCATTTCTGTCTTCCATCTTCTTCCTGTCTGAAAGTTGCCCACATTCTTCTGCATGCTGTGTTCTCCTCCTTTCAGGGACGTACTGTAATCCGGTTTATGTCCACTGCTTCGTCGATAAATGCCAGGTTGCTGACAGGCTTGCTATCAACCCTGACATGAAGTCCCTCAAGTTTTCATTTCTTTTTGAAAAAAATATTTTTTCTAGTTTTATACAGGTTTGAAGAAAGCAAACTGTAAAGTTTTCCTCTAGGACAGGAACCATTGTTCAAATTGCACTTATTGACAGAGCCTTTGTTCTTGGAAATTACCATTAACCTTAGGACCCGACCGACCCTTCCCTTTTCTTCACTTCTTCAAATAGTCTCATCTAATTGTAGGCCCAGATGTGATTTAAAGGCTCTCCTTGTCACCCCTCAGGAACCATACAGCCCTTACACCTGCCTCTAGTTTCTGCTGAATGATTCCTCTCAGAGACACTCCTTCATTAAAGTGGCTGTGCCTTGAAGCAGTGATGGCTGGGGCAAACTCTCTTGACTCTTTGGATTAGAGTACCTTGCTGAAAAGGGTTAATGATTTATCTTGATCACAGGCACTCAACCTGGTTCGTACTTTCCATACTTTTTCATACTTTTTTCATACTTTTGACTGGCTTGGCAACTTGCTGATATTTGTGCTAAACTCAGACTAAGGGGTGAGGAGGAGATAAAAAGGAGCCAGGCAGAAGTCAGTCTTCTGTCTTTTCAAACCTCTGGCTCTGAGTTAAGCTGCCTGTAAGACAAAAAAGTTATAGGATGTAAAGTCTTATGCCAGTGGGCAGGTGCTGAGGGTATTAAAAGTCTTTCTCTCTTGTTTTTGAATATCTGATATGCCATGGTGGTTTCAACACAGCACTCTAAATCCAGAATATAGTGACTCACAATACACAGAGTTATGGAAAGAGGAGTTATGGAAGAAGTCTTATCATCTCTTGTTGGAGGGCCATAGAGACTTAAGAGGTCTGACATCTCATAGGATGACACAAAGGTCAGCACATTGACTTTTTGTTGTTGTTGTTTTAAATATTTACCTAATAAAGGACTCTATTGATCTCTGTGTTTCAGGGAATACTCTGTACCAATAGCCTGGAAAGAGAGAGACAACAAGAGAGAGAGAAAGAGAGAGAAATGGAAAATGTGACTATTTTCAGCAATGACCACGATTTCAGAGTAGCACTCATATTCTGCTCTTTGCTCAAGTAAATGCACCACATAAATTTTAATTGAAATAGCACAAAAAGCCAGCATGCTTCAGATCATTACACAATTATTCGATACATTTTACTTTTCACCAATTCTATACCCCAGTCAGTATTTATTGTAAAGAAGCAGTGAGCCTCATCTGGACTGCAATGCACCAAAACGGTGGACAGGTTCCACATATTTTATCAAAACAGGGAAGTCCTGTGAAAGGATGAGTAATTTTGAGCAACCCAGAAACAGTCCTTTATGGAATTTTATCAGCAAGACTATGGGCTCTTGCAGAGTCTGGATCTAAATTTTGGTTGTTGATACCTATATACATAACTAATTTGGGTGAAGCAAAGGTACCCATTTCCTAATAAATCTGCTATAAACCTTAATTTGTTCTTTGCACTGAGAGAGACAGCTGAGGATGTATTTATGGAGGTATTCAGGCATTTTAGGATGCAGATGAACAATTAGGGAAGCCAGTCCTGTGTTCAAAAGCTCCTAGGTATCAAACTTCCATTGCAATTACATTTCTCAAACTCACTTCTTTTCTCCAACTGAACTTTTATTGCGCTTCATTTAAAATATGTACTTTTTTGCTGTTGTTGCAGTAAAAATCACTATACTGCAAACAATACTTTTCTGATAACCATTGCAGAAGATGAAAAATAATACATGCAACATTGCCTACCCAGCTGAGCTTGTAGGATTCTTATTTGGGAAAGAGCAAACTAGCCTTATTTTCTCCAAAAAATGGTCTCTTGTCATTTTTGCACTCGTACAGAAAATAACTGTACCCGTTTATGACTCCTGCCTGAAAGTGAAGTAGGAGGAGAGCATAATTTTTTATTTATGAATACTCCTGTAAATGATATCACTATAATACCCACAGAATTTGATACAGTCATTTAAGATTTTCCTGCCACTGTTTTACTTCTTCGATGGTTATTTATGTAAGTAACTTCCATTGTATATAAAAAATAGAGTCTATTATAATTCCAAGTTGTTTGGGAGGTAAACAAAAAAGTGACAGCTGGAAAAGACAACAGATAATATCTTGATTTTTATTAGAGATTAAATTTATTTACAAATACAGATTCTCCTCAAGAAATGATGATTCTTTTCTTGCTTGTGTTTTTCTGTAAATCTGAAATAATCAATCATCTTTAAGCAGCTTGTATTTAGGGACATTTGTTGTCATGTTGCTTTTACATTAAATCTTCATACATTGTTTTACAAATATGACTTTCAGGATATAAGATTCATTGTAATAATATGACTATTTTTCAAGGCATTTTAGTTTCTCATATGACTGTAGTATGTTGTGATTGACTAGGAATCTGCCCAAATTTGAAGGAATAATTTTTCACTTAACTTAAGGAATGTTTTCCTAAAGAGTCTTTTTTTCACAGGCTTGACGAGCACCATTTTGCATGTTTTACCACCAAAATTGAACAGAATTTTGCTAATAATATGTGATTGATCTTACTTCTACTTGATGCTTTAATTCTGCCATAGAAGCAGGGACATCATGGGAGAAGAGGTATTCTCCAAGCATATTTGCTTCATGTTGGAGCTGGCAGTGTGGAAAGAAGAAAGCCTTATTCCTACTGACATACTACAGTCACCGTTCAAGAAAGGAGAAATGTTTTTCCCTTCAGTTAACACTGTCCTTAATACATTAATCTGCAAAGCTAAAGACAGTTTTGGCAGACTGGTGGTCCATCCCTATTCTCTGAAATCACAGACAAGACATTTTTAAAATTCCGAGGTCCTGGGTACTTCAGTCAAGAGGTGAGTGAAAAAACACCAAAACACCAAAACATTGATAAGGAACCTGTATATCTAAGAGCTGAATATTTTTTTCAGATGAAAGGCAGTATGGACATAAGGTCTTTTTTATAGCTATAATAACATATTTAAATAGGCAAGTATTCTTGACAAAGATTATTACAAATCCACCTACCAATTTATCTGATGAAAATTTTCTTAATGTCTTTATTTAATTTCATTACATAGCCAGCTTATTTCCTGGCCAAACAAACTAACATGCTTGAATAATGAGCTATTTTTTTTAAACCCTTCCCAAAGGAGTTCAAAATCAGCCCAAGCATATCTTGCTTGTATCCAGAAACTGAAGAACTCTACCTAAGAATTCATTTATTCATGAAAATATGCTCTTTTCTAATTACAAACAGATGCCAGTCTTCACAAATTTTTATTTAGAATTCAATTTTTGGGATTTTGGACCACTCCAGTCCTCCACCATTTGTTGCAACATTAAAGTCTACTTTGACAGCAGTGGAACGGGGCCAAGTCTAAAGTACAATTGATGTGTACTTCAGATTGCTCACTGAAGTGTTGGGAGTTGGTTATCCTTCAACACCTCCCTAAGTCAGATGATTGTTCCTGTGGATTAAGTGAAAGGGAATAAGTATTACATAGGAAGGATATACAGAATGATGCAAACCAACTTTATTTTTCATTTCTTATCCAGAGAATGAGGACCTGTTTTGAGGACTAGCTGTGTTGCAACCTGCCTCTGAGACAGGGTAACTGAGGTTCTCCTAAATAAATTCCTTGGGGTGAATTAGTGTGAAACAGTACTGTGGATTGTGGGTCTTAGTACTGCTCTTACTCTTCTAACATCAGTCCACAGTTTTGTAGTTTGTTGGTATTGGGAGTTCCCAGTTGTTGTCCATAGGTTGTTAAGTCCTGGGCTACTTCCAGGCAAATCAATTCACATGCATTCTGGTTGGAGGATCTGGGACCTGACTGTATTTGCTTTTGTAATTGTTTGGTGTGGATTTTCAATGCACCAGGTAAACTCCAGATTAAAAACAGAAACTGAAGATAATCAGCTTCAATTTCCTTAGGAGAGTTATGCTGAGTTTCCCATAACTCTGTATGCATTAACTGGAAACATGCCACCTTATGCACACTTTTCAATATATGACCAATTGTGGGGGTTCTAACTATATGGCATTCTCCCCTCTCCATAGGATCCTACCCTCCTGCTCAGTATGCTGCCTTCTGGGTCAGGGACCACGGCTCTCAATTATCACCCATGGTCAGGAAAACTCCTGGTCCCCAATATCCCAGATAAAACAAGATTAGATACCCTTTTGGATCAACCTGGGTGATCGTATTTTTTTTTAAATAAGTCATTAGCTCTTGGAGAGACTGCCTGTCTACCCAGTCTCCTCTGAAAACAGGCAAATTTTTCTCTGGAGGAAGACCTCGTACATATGTAGGTGCTCTGCACCAGCAAAGGATCCTGTCCAGGGTGTCAATAAAATGTTGTGACCCATCTCTGGGGTTCTTTACCATCTAGGCTCTTTACTAAAGCATCCCTTGGAGTGGATTCATATCTTCATATATATGGTCCTGTAGGCATGAGCACATAGACAAAAAAAAAAAAAAAAACAAACCAGAGCAAAACAAAACAAAACAACAAAACCCCACCCAAAACACAAAGCATCTTAGGTATACGTAAAACCAATCACTTTCTGGGCTAAAGGTTATGGAATGCAATTTGCAAATAAGATACAAGGAAGAAAGTAAGAAATTCAAATTTGTCCTATGTTTATAGTTCTGATGCAGATGCATATAGGGGCACACCTGGTGTATTTACCAATTCTCTAAGCTGTTCAGGTGCTACCTTCCCAGCGAGACTCCCAGGGGAGACAATGGGCTGTCTGAAGACAACAGACAAAGTTGAGATGAGGATTGCCTGAGCTCACAGCAACCTTCACTGCAAAGCATTGACTGATTATTGCAGAAGCTGCCCAGGTGGGAGCATTCTCAGAGGAACCTCAGCCTCAACACTGAGCCCCAAAGCTATTTATTTGTGTGACTTCATTGAATAACACCCTAAGTGGAAAGTCTGGAAAGTCCAGCAACTATCCCAAGGGAATCCTGCTGCAAAACTAGCCTGTGTGTTTAAAGAAAATGCTCAGTGAATATGGGAATGGTACATAGACTGCCCTTGGTACATCTGATACTTAAGAGAGAGTTTGCACCTAATTTCAGGCAATTAACATTATACAAAGACCTAAAAGAATTAGCTGTGTTTTTTTGCTTGTTTTGTTTTGTTATTTGTTTTATTGGTTGTTTGCTTTTTTTAATTTTTATTTTGCCAGTCTATGAGTGTATGTGCAACAATATGTAATGAACATAAGAGTTTCTGGCCTACAGTGAAGAACATAGCCAAGAACACAAAATTAAAAATAACACTTTTCTGGTTGAGTAATTTTGTCTATTATTTATTTTACCCAGGTAGACAGAGAAAGAAAAAATCTGAAGATTTAATGAACGAATCTAAGGAATCACCAAGCAATCACTATGTATGAAGTGTGAAAGACTGAAATTATCTCTTACTATATATAGTACAAATAGAATAAAAATAAAAGAAAAAGAAGTAAGCTGTTTATTCAGAATGCAATCAAACTGACAAACAAAAAGCATACAAACTTCAAAATCAAGAAAACTTGAGTAAGTTCAGGACACAAATCTCTGCTTTGCTTCACTTAACATCCAGTTGAAAACCAACACTACAACCTCAATAAAGTGAATGTAATTGGACATGATGTCTTATTTCTGGCTGAAATAAATGGAATACATGTATGTTTATGCCCTTTCACATCTCATCCAGCCTCTTCCTGATAACACAAATGTCCATTGAGGTAACCATTTTAATGGTTAGCCAGCGATACTTTATTACACTGATACCTAACAGTGATGTTTTAGCTTCCAGCTAATTAGAACACCTAAAAATTTAGTGGATAACAGCAAGAAAGAAATATATATTAAAAAAATATCACAGAGCAAACATTGTCTCATGCATTCTAAACAGATAATGGACAATCTTTTTCTTTTTTTTCTTCTTTTTTTTTCTTTTTTTTTGACCCACATGTATAGAACACTTCAGAGGGGTTTTGCTCTGTGTTAACAGTGCCATCTAACAAGTCACATTTCTTCTGCTGAGAATGCTTGTTCTCTTTCTACGCAGAACTGAAGGCAGCATCTCCCACAGGGGCTAGTAAAAACGTTGGCAGAATTATTATGTGTGTTTTGTACACATCAGCTTACAGAACTGGAAGGATGCATCCCTGACATCAGCTTGTATTTTTCTGCCATCCACTTGAAGTTTCAAGAAATTGCTGCTCTCCCTTCATATCTTCTCCATCTCTCCCCTTGGTGATGACTCTATGGACACGTGTATTTAGTCCCTGCAATTGTGCATTACTGCCACTTCTTGATAAAGCTAATTGGCATTATTCCTGTGGCCCTTAGTAATGACAGATAATGACAAAGGAGAAGATTTTGGAAAGCAGTTAGTCACTGAAGGAATTAGTTATTTTTCTCTTTCCCCAATTGTTGAGATCAGTGAAGAACAACAAATTTGGCAGCGGAAAACTATGCAAATGGCAGACAACAGTGCTTGAGTTACTACAAGAGAAGGCTCTTTGCCCATAATTTATTTCCCCATACCAAATGAAACACAAAAGGAGCAGCACACGGAAAGGAACCATTGAGGTATTACTCTAAATAATGTCACCTGAGTGAAAATCTGTCCCTAGGATCTATGCTGCCATGGCTAGAAACTGAAAGTACAATAGTATTATCTCTTTTCAGTTACTTGGAAGGGAAATAATAGTCACCAGGACACTTTCTTTTTTTTTTGGTGTCTCAATGAGTCTGCTTCTAGTGAGTGGAGGTTAGAAAAAACATATTCTGAGGTTCTTGCTCCTTCTCATGAAAAAATAGGTAAAATTTTTAAGGGAAAGTACAGCATTTAGAGAAGATTGAGATGTAGATGAGAAGCTTTGTGATTTGTTTTCTAAAGCTACATAGTAGTTTTCCAGAAGGAAGGATAATACCTAAGTGAACAACAGTGAGACAGTGCAATAATGTATTTGTAATAACTGAAAAGATTGCATGTTGTCTGTTTATGGAGATAGCCAAGATTACCTGTTAGGATTTTGAGAAAGTTCTTCCAACATGATACAAGTCATATCTTTAGAACCCCCCAGGCACATTTTGTTCCTCAGAAGTAAAAGTTACAAAAGACAAATATGCCTTTAATTGTGTTGAAAAGTAGAATTGTGTTCAATTTGTAGGTCTTCTAGTTTTTAGAATGCATTATTTACGTAGTAGAGAAAAAATTAATAATTATTGAGACTATCAGGATTCAGTTCTAAATAGTTCATAGAATCTGAAATATAATTGTAAATTTTATATAATTTATGGTCTGAAAATAAGTTACTAAATGATCATAAGGAGAGTCCAGATTCTAGAAAACAGAGGAATTACATCATGCATTTCCAAGAAACAAAAACCCCCAATTATTTAACATTTTGGAAAAGAATGATGAAACCAATTTCAGAAATTAAATATTTTTATTATCAAAGTGATGCATTACAACCAGCTGCAAGAACGGAATGAGTTATGTATGTATTTATAAAACTCAGTTGGAATATGGATGATGAAGTCAACACACAAAAAAATTCAACTTTCCAATAAAAGAATATCGTGGCTTTATTAATATAATACAATAAATAAGCCACACAACCCGGTTGGTTGGGGTTCCAGCAACCAAATAGCTTTATTAGAAGCAAATATCACCTTTTATATGCACTTCAAAACATCATGTGATTCACTTAGCCAACCACCATGGGACTTGCCACTGCCCATGTGTATTAGAATATATTTTGGAGACTACCTCTCCCAGGATGCATCATCCAGAATCCTTAAAACGTGTTCCCCACAGAATATTGTCAAAACTCTTAAAATCAAGTTTTTCAAGTAAAAATCTTTTTTATACTAGTTTATATGTTATTTGCCCCCCTCCCGGAAGCTGCGGCGGCCACAGGGGTGCCCCCCCCCAGGAAGCTGCACGGCCCAGGGTCGCCCCTGGTGGTGGAAAGGAGGGAGGAAGCTTCGCTGGCGTAGCTTTGTGCCCTCCTGAGAGAGGAGAGTGGAAGCCTTGGAGCACACAGAGGTTTGCCGGTCCAGTGTGGGGGAGGGGAAGGGTGCTGGGCAGGCCATGGGGGTCCTCAGACTGGCGAGTGGGTGGGCGGCGCAGCCCTGCATAAAGTGTCGCAGATAAGCGGTGCATGGGAAGATATGAGGTAACATGGTGGGTGGAGGATAAGGTCAGGGTGGATAATGGTTTCCTCTTGGGGTTTGGGGGTCTCAGCCAGGCTAGGGCCTTGAGAGGTACTTGAGCCCTAGGTGGGTACGGGGGCTGGAACGGTTTTGTTTGTTTGTTTGTTTTTGGCTCACCTGCGGCTACTGCCCAGGTTCAGTATGTTCTGGATATATTCGTTACATCCTGAAAGGGTGGTCAGGACAAAGGGTTGTTCCTGGGTATTTCCTTGGGATTGAATACAGATAGGTGGTAGAAAAGTAGGAAGCAAAAGACTTGCCCTAATTGTTTTGATAGTAGGAATGTAGCCTGTGTAACCCTATGTGGTTGAGAGCTATGCTGGCGATGGTACATGCCTTCGGTAGGGTCGCCCATGCCAGACAGGTCAAAACCATAGGGTCAGATACAATACATCCTTGGGCAGGATGAGCTCATTAGCCTTCTGACAGTCATCCTAGGAGAAGGACAACTCTAATCCCAAACCAGGGCAGATGGAGCTCGCTTAGCCCTGTAAGGCCATCCATCTAAGAGAAGGTTACTCTAATTAAACCTATGTCCTGAGGACCTCACTGCCACCATCCAAGCTCAGTCGGCCCTGGCAGATGAACCTGAGGATTAAAGGGTGGGCCCAGTTCCGCGCATGCTGCGTCTCACCTAAAAAATCCACTGTGCAGACTCAAAGGCTTTACCCACATTTGCAAAGCCCTGTAGCGACGGGCGAGGGTCGAAATGGCAGGTGAAAGGTGCACTGGAAGCTGCAGACCCAACCCTGCATGCAGGTGGTTCAGGATATTGGTCATTTGAGACTGACCGGAGATGGTAGTCTCTTGGGGCAGCACCCTGAACAACCAAGCAGCCTTTTCAAGGACAGCACTGCTTGCTCCACTCGGAGAGGGGCCTAGAAAAGGTAGCCTAAACAGAGCTTATTTCCACATTTCAGCTGGTCGGTTAACCGCGGCCAATGGGCATCTTCTACTAACGCGGTCACACAAAGATCAAAAGACAAAGGTACACACCTGCCTCCAAAGGTGTAACCAAACTGACTCTAGCATGCTGGAACATCAGAACCATGCCTGATTCTGCAAACAGTGGATGCCCTGAGCTCTGCCCTAATCGCCCAGGAACTATCACGTCTTAATATCGACATAGCGGCTCTCAGTGAAGTCCGTCTCCACGAGGAAGGGAGTCTTAGAGAAAACGGTGCTGGATGCACACTTTTTTGGTCAGGTAAACCTAG